AGTTTATAAAAAAAAAATTGAATATTAATATATTTTATAACACATGAATAATGACGAATAGCGATAAAAAGGAAATAATAAACAAATTAAATATTTAGTGTAAAAAAAATTACTTACAGCAGCATCAACATTAGCTGGTGATTCATCGTTTGGGTCAGCCAGCATTGATATAACCGAAATTAAAATAGTTTCTACAGTATGGACAGGCAACCACCGTTCTGATGCTTTCTCATATCCGAATTTATCATCCCCAGGTTCATGTAAAATTGATATACAAACATCCCCATTTTTATCAACTAAAAAAGAACATAAGTAAATAAATATTTACTGATTAAGCTACATGTAAATATTTTTCTAGTTTAACTAAGCTTTCACTTAGAATGTATTCCATTTCTAACTGTAATTTAATGAAAGGAAAACAAGCAAACAATTTGCAAATATAATATAGGCACGGCATACCCAGGTGAATATTGTACAAACATTATGCAACACACATTACGGGAAATTTCTTTACTCTCATGTTTGAGTTATTTGTTTATTATTGTTTTTTCTTAGGAATGTGGTTATAGTTTTACTTATAATAAAATCAAAGTTTGTTAGTTTATTGGCTAGGAATTTTTATCACCACTGATGCAGAAACAGAAATTGAAAATTAAAGATTAAAACACTCATTATCAAAATTCTTTTTAAGCATTTATTTTTTTTTTCATGTTTATAAAATATTATCAAATAAACTTATAAATATAATTTTAAGTGTATTTACTACACTGGCTTAATATTGTTAATATATCCTATTGTTTAAAATTAATAACCAGTAAAAATAGAACAGAAAAAACTATTTTACTTGACTTAGGACTCTCGAAAAAAATGAATTGTAATTTTATAAAACTAACTGTTGCATACTTACGGACTGTTAATCAAAATTAATCTAAAATATTTTCTATCTTGAATCAGTGTTCGCATTTCCCTAAAACTAGAGCACCCCACACGTCTAACTATGAACAAACAGTAATCTATCCTATAAACTGTCCTTATTTTAATACTACTTTTCGTATTTTCAATATATTTCTTCTAGAAATCACAAAACCAACCTTTTGTAATAAATTTATTTAAATAAGTAAACCTACAGAAACCATACGTCATAAAAAAGGAAAAAAATTAAAAAGCAATACACTATACACTTAAATTAAAAAATTGTGTTTCTTGTAATCAATTGGAAAAAAGAGTGTGTACACAATAAATGTCACACCATATACAATTTATCACTATTACAAATATTGGGGACACAGTACATTTTTCAATAATCATTCAATTCGATTCGATTAATTCAAATTCATTTATTTACCTAAGAAGAGGAAGTTAAAAAACAACTAATAAAAAAGGAGAACAATTTTTACAAGATTACAATACAATGTTAAAAACCGCACTAAAACAATAATATTTTATTATTCGTTAAGTAATTACAAACAAAATCGGCCGATGTACAATATATTTTTTTTGAATCGTCTTAATATTAATAAATTTGTTTAAAGCAAAATCACACAGTAGATGCGCCTCGGTTTTAATAAAAAAAATATATGAACATATGTTTTTTGCGCCGTTTCGAGATCTCATGCAGATGAGGGGACTGGGGGAGGAACGAGGAATTGGGAAAGGCATGGTCGGAGACTGAGGCAGGCTAGGTTCGTATCTTCTACGCTTCCCAAAAGGAAGCGAGAAGGTCTCAAAAATTATACATAAAATCTACTCGTTTGAACAAAGTGAATTAATTAAAAGAAAATGAAAACTGCGGATTTCACGAAACCGTTACTGATGTTACCACAAAATTTCATAATGTTTATTTTTAAAGGCTATACTAACACTCTTCTTGCGACTTCCGCACACAACGAGCAACTTTCCTTTTAAATTCAGAATAATGCTCTCGCCATTCTTTCTGCAATATAAATTCAAATTGGCTTTAAAAATGTGCAACGAATTTCATGTTGAATGAAAGATTAAAAGATTACGCATCAAAGAGTGCATTTATTTTCGATTGATTTGGTATTATTTACTTATATTTTGATATTTGACTTTTAAATTACCGATTTAATCGTCTATCACTCTCTGTAAGAGCATTTCTTTTATATTTCATCCAAGAAAGGTTTAATACACTATTAAAAAAGGGAATACAAACAGTAATTACAGTAAATAATTTTGTTAAATAGTGGAAAGCGGTTTTGGAAATATGAGAATTGTAATACAAGCAAAAAATTAAATTAAAACATTCCCGTAAATGGATGTACAAAATGAAATTAATTAATTAGCGTAAAGAAAAGTTTGTTGTATCTTATTAACTGTGTTACTTGCATGACATCAAATTAAAGTAAATACATTTTGGACTGAATTCATATTTGAATGCTTGTTGTTGCACAAAAATATTTTAATCAAAAACAAATAATAATTAAGAGTAAAACAATTAGTTGTAATATTAAACAGTATTGATGGATTCTACCTTGACAATTTCAAAAGGTACTGAATAAATGGAGGCTTACTGAAGACAATAGATAAATATTGTTACCAGATTTTCATGAAAAACTAAAAAGATGAGAATTTAGGTATTCTGTATTTTTGTTGGATTAACAACTCTAATTTCATTAAAAGAATTCTTCAAATAAATGTAAAAACAGGTAGCTTGAAAAGTTAACTTAACTATTCCAATCAAAAAAACTCATGGTTTTATTAAAAATCAGAAGTTAAAACAATTTCGTCTTTTTTTTTGTAAATTAAAAAGCTTAACTTTGTACCTTTATCATTTGTTTAATTTCATACACAGATAAGATAACAAGAAAAAACGATATCTCCTTTCTCTTCAAAAGTTTATAAAAAAAAAATTGAATATTAATATATTTTATAACACATGAATAATGACGAATAGCGATAAAAAGGAAATAATAAACAAATTAAATATTTAGTGTAAAAAAAATTACTTACAGCAGCATCAACATTAGCTGGTGATTCATCGTTTGGGTCAGCCAGCATTGATATAACTGAAATTAAAATAGTTTCTACAGTATGGACAGGCAACCACCGTTCTGATGCTTTCTCATATCCGAATTTATCATCCCCAGGTTCATGTAAAATTGATATACAAACATCCCCATTTTTATCAACTAAAAAAGAACATAAGTAAATAAATATTTACTGATTAAGCTACATGTAAATATTTTTCTAGTTTAACTAAGCTTTCACTTAGAATGTATTCCATTTCTAACTGTAATTTAATGAAAGGAAAACAAGCAAACAATTTGCAAATATAATATCATTAAATGACAACCGTAATGGAAAAGAGTACTTACTGTTGGGATGCCAAATTTCTGTTATAAATTTCATTTTTGGTGGTTTTAGTGGGTATTCCTTGGGAAAATATAAATGACATTTGAAGAACCCACCTTCACTACAATAAATAAAGAAAAGTCATTAAGCAAAGTCACCTGGTATTGTATTACTACCTCAAAAGTGACTTACTATAATGTGTCTGGAGGACCAATTATTAATACTTCCCATCTATAAATATCATTATCATCTATAAGGCCTGCGGAAAATCCCTCTACAGGGTTTTTATTAAGTTCTAAAACATAATAGATTAATTAATGTGGAATAAATAAAACAATACCATAAATAAAAGTGAGGTTAAGTACAACTGACATAAAGGTACTAAAAAAAATTTCGATAAATATGTAATACAAAAATGAAAAAGGGCAGTATAATTCGTAAATGTAAATATTATCTCGTTTTCACAGTAACATAAACAAAGTCGTGACATCTTAGCATGCCCTACAAATTCTAACCTTCAAACCGCCCTAATGTCAAAAATGTGATACTGTAGTAATTTGATAATTGTGTAAATTTTCACAAAGAAAATAAAAATATTTAAGCAAGCCAAAAGAAAACCAGTTACGTAAATAAAGAAAGGATTTCGTAACTCGAACCTAAACGCTTTAATAAGCAAAATTAACACTCAAAATCAAATATAAAAAAAGGATTATTGATTTTTCGAACGTAAGATGAAATTAAACGGGTTGCTTACGATTAATTGACATATAACAAATAATGTGAATTATAAAAACTATCTGAAAGGTCGAGTATCAGATAAAATAAAACCCAATTTGCAAGTATAACTGTGCTAATATATTAATCACATTTTTTAAAAACAAAGGCAACTGTCACGAGACTAATTTTGTAGACGAAATTGACTCACCTGCAAGTTGTTTTCTTAATAAAAGTGCAGACTGTGGTTCTGACATTTAATTGCGATTTTAATTTTGATCAAAATCTAGAAAATAAACACTTTTCGACAGAAAATGGCTGAAGTTGTCGTACCCACAGACCGCATGAAACTTCGTCAAACATATGTTATTTCCGGAGAGGTTTGTATCTCGGCTGACACGAGTTCTGTATGGTAGATTCGTTGAAGCTTTATCTTCCTTTCACTAGAATTCGCACTGTCCTTAGAGGGAAATTTAAATTATTTCTGCATTCCAACCAAGACCGATACAGGTGTTGCGAGTTTTAAAGAAAAACTAATAATTTTGAGGTAAATGTCGAATATGAAAAGTACACTCTTAGATCAGGAATATAAACTTTTTAATAGAAGAGTTTTTATCATTTGAAGTTTTACTTATAACTAAGTTATAATAACTTGTTTCCAGAATAACAATTAAAATTAATTAAGTTAGGTAAAAAGTACCCCAAATATTAGCAATTGTTGGAATTATATAAAATATGAGATAAAAAGCAAAATTTATAAAACAAAAGCATATTAACCCAATCAGTGCACACAAAAATGGTTCAAAGAATTGACGATTTTCAAATGTTCAGATAAATTCAAAATTATGTTTTACATCTCCATATTCCACATAATGATATAATTTAATCACAATTTACAGTATATTATTATAATAATATTATGCAACTATGATTGTTTCAATAATTTGAAACAATGCTCTTTGTAATATCGAGTTTATCAAATTTAAATCTCACACAAAATTTTAGAAACCAAAAGGATTATTAACAAAAGACCCATTTTATTTTTTATTGAGCTAGTTTAAAATCTTCAAACACTTTAGATTTCAGGTATACTGAATATAATAATGAATTAACAATTTCAAATGTTATCGAGATGCTTAATACTGCCTGCATGTTCGCACCAATTAAATGGTAATTTTTGTTAAAGTTACTTAAATGATGATTTCCTAACAGAGGTAAATACGATAAATATGGCAAATACGATATATAAACATGGCTATTTAGTTTAGGTAAATCTTTATTTTTGTCTTTTATATTACAAATATTTTACACTTAAGTTCACAGCTAACGTAAGTTAATGTTCATTCCTGATTCAGGCATGGAATTGCTCAGTAAACAGTCAACATATACGCAATTACAGTTTACTTTTTACATTATTTGAATCGTCGAATTCATACGATTTATAACTGGTTAGGTAGTGGGTAATGCTTACAGGAAAGAAGTTCAAAAAGTGACTTACACTATGTTACGGTCCTGTACAAATTTTCCTCAAAATTGTATGTATCCAAAAAAGTTTATTCTTTTTTCTTTGAACTAGCACCTGTGTATTAATCAATTAATTTATTTATATTTTACCTATTTGTTAATATTTCGATGATCGGTTTGTAAAAAGTTGAAAAAAGAAACGATAAAGTACCTAAATAAATGCTAAACATAATTAGTTCTTTTGGCTAACGTAGTAGGTAGCTACTGTCTTCCTTTGTGCAGCTCTAGATTAAAGTTAGCACCGGTTGAGTAGTTGATAAGTTACTGTTTAATTACATTTCCGTATTATCTTCGTTATCTTCAATTTCGGGTTCTTCTGGAAGTGTGTAGACGCCAGTAATGACCGGTCCCTCGAGCACTTCAGGTATTTTACTTCCCACAGTTGACAATTCGTGGCTACTTTCTATAACAGATGTGGGCGTTCCCGTGCTCAGTAAAGTCTCTTCAGTCATATTTCTTTGATAAAAGTTAGACTTGGTTTGACTGAATTGTCATGATGGCAAGTTATACGGGTCTGAGGAACTTAATTCTTCTGGAAAACTGGTCGATCTTGCTTTTGGCGAGTTCTTGGTCTGGTGTTTGAGCCTGTGAATGATTTCGTCGTGGACGACGTTAAAACACATTGCCGTTAAAGCCATTCCGGACATTATGTACAACGAACAGAACCACAAGGTTTGTTCGGAGTCGTAGTAGGGATAAGTTCGAGACCCTGGGACCATGTCACCGAAGCCTATGGTGGTCAGTGACATGAAGCAGAAGTAAAACCCATCTAGAAGATTCCAGTTTTCCAATTTGTATAAAACAAAAGTGCCTACACAGATATATATAAACATCATAGCTAAACAAAGTAACACTGGAGCTAGAATACTAAGACCGTGCATGGAAGTTTTTGACTCATTATCTATGCTGCTTGACGTCTCCGGATCCTTCAGGGGACCATCACGTAAAGGAGAATGAAGATTATTAGGGGTTGAGTCAAAACTTACGTTCGATCTGTAATTAATAAAAGTTTGTTTAAATATTACCAAGCAAAAGATTATAGAGGTAACATGAAAAGAAAAAGAACGTTATAACTTCTTGGTGAGAAATCTATAGTGTTTATTAAACGTGGGCCGCGATTCCGATCCTATTAGATCTCATTAGCACGCTATAGGCAGTTTCGGTAAATCGTTAACTAATTCAAATGGAGATACGCAAAATGGTTTTTAAAAGTATTTAAATACAAAATGCAAATACTTTTTTGATTTGTTATTTCAAATGTAAAATAAAAAATAGATTTCCCTTTTGCATTTTAGATGCTAAATACTTTTTTTCAAATAAATGCTTTTTTCTAGAACCTATTTAATTTTCTATATTTACTTAAGTATAAAATTTTAAGAAAACCTTGCAGGCATTTTCTAATTTTTGAAATATTGGAGTTTTTCTAGACTAATAATGGTGATTGGGGTAAGATTGACAATGATTCATATTTTTCTGCTCGAAGAGATTGAGATATAGTTTTTCTATCTTTATGTTATTGTTTCTTCATTTCAGCAACAAATAATTCTTCTATATGCTTCCTTTTTTGCCTTTGTCACCCGTTTAAATTGTAAAAAATACACTGATGTCAAAATAGTTTGTTTACTGTGAAGATCAGAACCAAAGTAGGGTTGCAAATAATTACATTGATGTAAAATCAACATCAATAAGTTTATATCAACATATTTACAACCGCATTTTATTTCCGATCTCTTACACATTATAATAAGAGAAACAAATGGAATCCATATAGTTTCTTTAGCTTTGGGTTCATCTAATAAGTGAAGTTTTTCGAATCGTTTTCTAAGAAATTTGGATTATGGGCATTTATTAGCACATCACAATATCTTGCAATTATCAGTTTTACACAGGTGTCGTATATCAATTCGATATTGTTTTGCGGGCTGTTTTGTCGTAATTCATTGAATTTCGTACTAACTTCCCAAAAGTACGATAAGTGGTGATTTGGCAGGTGCTGATATCAATTTGGAACTTCAAAATTCCATGGACCATGATATTGAACCCGGAAAACAATATCGATCCAATATTTTAAATTATCTATTTTCAAGGAATTTAGAGTTTTTTGGGTTCTCTCCAGTTAAAGAATTAGAAGGTATTCACGGAATGTCTCTTTGTTCCCTTTTTAAGCTTCTCATCTTCAATGGCCAATGTAAGCAACATTCATGTATTTTGCATTTTATAAATAGAAAATACATTTGGAAAAGTATGAAATATAAAAATAATTTAAAAATAAAGCACAAAATGCTTTTCTCAAAAGAGTATTTAAATGCAAGATAAAAATACGTATCTTTTATTTTGTATTGGCATTTTAAATATTTAAATAAGTATTTCAAATAAATGACATCTCTGAATTCAAAGAAGTACTTTAAAGGTTGTTGTAACATCTAGTTTTGTTTTTAGCAGCAGATAATGATAAGTAGATGGTGATATAGATACAGCTATAAGTAGAAATTAATTTTAATGTAGTCCACGCTATCAAAGCATCAAAAGGAAGCGTGATTCAAGTGAGGACCCAATTTACGGGAGATTATCAAAGTAACGTAAAATAAAAACGAAGAAGACGTAATTAGTAGATATTCAGCAATTTATTTTGTCAGAGGTACTATTTTTTGGATTTTACGAGATCATTTTCAACAGTTTACTGTTACGAAATGTCAACGTTATTCAAAATTCATAAGCTGTGCTGATCATATTTGGTTCAACAAACATTCGTCATTGCCACACCAAACGACATAAATAAATATTAAAGAAGCTTGTACAAAGAAAATTTGGGTTCAACTTAAAAAAAATTTTTGGGTGTTTCATTCCATTCCATCCATCCATCCATTGCTGGTGGGCGGGCAGTCCCTCCGGACTATGCCGGAAGATAGAGCGGAAGACTCTCTTCAACATCCTTTCAGGAATCGAGGGAATGGGTGGGTGGCGGTTCGGGTGAGAAAGATGAGACGGACGAAATGAGTTCAGAAGAGAATGAAAGATTATCTGTGGAATACTACTGTCCCAGCATTTGCCAAAATGATCCAAGGAAATCACAGAAAAACTTGGATCAAGCCAGATGGACCCGGAATCGAACCGGTGCCCCATCCCCATTGCCAAGCAATGGTCTAAACCTGTGGGTTATGCCGCTCAGTGGAATTCAACTTAATTCCTGACCTGGGAGAATTTCTAAAATTCTTGCATTCCGAACCAACGTTGACCCACAACATATCGAATTGAAAATTTTTTAATGTACGGTCATTCCGAAAACTGCCATTATGTGCAGGGCTGTCGAGAAGGCCAGGGCGAAAAGGGGGATTCCGTCAGGGCCCGCGTTTTTTTGAGTAGAATTGAAAATCCAGAACTTTAAAAAAAATCTAATTCTCTTTCTCCTTGTCTCCAGTAAAGAAAAAGCTTGCATGCAAATAATTGAATTGTGATCTTTCAAATGTTAAGTAGATATATGGACTTGCTACTTTGTAGCCGCGGACCCAAATTTTCTTTAGAAGCTGTCATTACGGGAGGCCAATAAATCATAGAACTGTGAACGATAAGAAGACTATGTTCCATCTTCACAATTTATGATAATGCATTTATTAAAACAGTTTGCAATTCTGAGAAATAAGTTAATGGGCAACTATAATTACGTAATATTACCTCCCTATTGTATATCTTTTTTATATGTTTTTGAATTTATTATTAGTCAACGATTGAAAATGATCTCATAAGATCAAAATCACTGTCCAATTGACAAAAAAAACATTTCATATTAATTAATCATGTTTCACCAATTCACCATTGAGAGGTTAAACTTAAGTTATGAAATAATTAGTGACAAATGACCAAATATGCATTGATCAACTGCAGTTATAGAAAACTTTTCTAATGTGTAGAAATGCCCACCGATTAAGAAATCCTTAGATAGAAGTAATGAGATAATATCTAGTTCCTTTCATCAAAGCAAAGTAGAGATGGCAGCAAATAGATCCACATATTTTGGTTTCGTTCATTACTTTTTTATTTTTATTATTTAATTGCAAACCATTTCTTAATTAGTATATCTATTCTGGCAGGCACAAGCAAGAAGTGAAAATAAAATTGCCAAGGAAATAAAAGTGGACCAAAATCAAAATAAACTGCTAGAGAACTCTTTATCAAGTACATAGGCCATCTTTCATATTAACAGTTTACCTGACGTAGAATGGTTCTTGCAACGCGAGTTGTTGTTGCAGTTCCATCTGTTGTCGTTTGCGACGAAGCCTCCGCTCTTTCTCCGCCATACGTTTTTCATCGTAACAACAATATCCACAATTTGAACACAAACAACAGCAAAGGGCGCGGGAAAATACCCCACGAGCTACTTTACTAAGTATCGACCCTATACTAGACAGATATAGTAAGGTTAATGGGATACCAAAGATGGCGTAACCCATTGTCACGGCTTTTCCGAGAGAGGTACGGGGTGTAATGTTTCCATATCCTGTAAATAAAATTCAGTATTATATGATACATATTTATACTTGTTGTAGTTATATAATTATATGTAACATATGTACAACTGACATAAAGGTACTAAAAAAAATTTCGATAAATATGTAATACAAAAATGAAAAAGGGCAGTATAATTCGTAAATGTAAATATTATCTCGTTTTCACAGTAACATAAACAAAGTCGTGACATCTTAGCATGCCCTACAAATTCTAACCTTCAAACCGCCCTAATGTCAAAAATGTGATACTGTAGTAATTTGATAATTGTGTAAATTTTCACAAAGAAAATAAAAATATTTNGGTGTGTAGAGCGTTAAGTTAATTCACTTGTTATTATTTTTGGTTAAATATGCTTTTAAATAAAGCATATTCTTAAATTTTAACGAGGCAGTTTAAATAATTTTGAAAATGGTACTGTACACTTTTGTCTAGTTCTCGCTCGATGATCGGTGGGGAAATGAGCTCCGCGGACAAATATGATTGAATTTGGAATTATTCTACGGTGCATCCTATTAAAGGGAAGAGGCATATCTCTAACTTCTTGAAACGAACAGTACCTGGTATTGAGGTTTGTACAAATGTCACCCGCTACTCTGAAAACTATCTTAAACTAACCAAAACTTCAAAATCTTTTGAACAAAATGTAACCCCCTTTATTAGCCTACATTGCAGTTATTAGATTTATGCTACTTTACAGTAGTCAGGGATAACGCGTGGGTTGGAACAAATTAATTTAAAATTAAGGGATTTAATTTTTTGGAAGAACACTTGGATACGTCTATTGCTACAGGGTGGTCCAAAAATAAGCAACTACCACGGATTTAATGTTTCATGTACCAGCTAACTAACTATAGTCAGCAGTTATCCATAAATTTAAGAATTATTTCTTTCATTTGAGGAGGTGAGTAGATTGGAACAAACACAGTTAAGATTGAGGGGTTTGTTTTTTCGAAATTTATTAAACAATACCACAACAAATTATTTAATTAAACGTTCAAATTGCTGACCATTAAATTCCTGACAATAAGCAAGTCGATCTTGAAAGTCTTGTACACTCTAGTTAAGGTTTTGGTTGGGTTTGTTGTAATTCAGTTCTGTTCTGTTCTTCAATTATTCAATATTTTCAGGTTTATTTAAGTAACTTGGATTTAGATAACCACATGGATAGAAATCAATCAGGTCTGAAGACCTAGCTCGTCATTCCACAATGTCTTTCCTTCCGATCCATCTGTTTGGGTAAATATGGTTAAGGTAATCTGGTACTACCTATTTGGGAATAGTGTGGGGGTGCTCCATCCCATTGGAACCATACCATACCATACTGCTGGTATATTTGGGTTGTCGGCATTTGGGTAAAGCAAGTTAATCTGGGTATTATGTAATTTTGTAGTTGATCTAAGTTAAAAGTCGATGCAGAATTCAAAAATGTATATAAAATAGGTGCTACCATTTGAAAAAAATTTATTCGATGATAGTCGCTTATTTTTAGGGCACTTTGTATACATGAATTTACCATGAAAAAATCGGTAGTCAAATCGACATAGCCAAGTGTTTTCCTAAATAAAAAAAAACCCTGCATTTTAAATGAATTTGTTCTAATCCACACGTCCTCAGTGAAGGCTGAAGGTATTTGTATTTTTTAAAAGTCTGCCCTTTAATAATTGCTTGTAATGGAATATCCTTATGTTCGTTTATCAACTCACCACTACGGTATAGCCTTTGAGGCGCACAAAAAGGATAAAACCTTTCTAAAATTAATTATGTTAATGCGAAAAGAAGGTCACGTTTGGTACTAGTGGCGTTCGGGGCTGTCGGATTTGCCGATAAAAAATTTAAATAGGGGCTAATTAATAGAATCATTTTCTTTGATAAACACCTATTGAATTTTAAAGCTTAGCAAGTTTTAATAAAGTATTTATTTCAACACAAAGTTTTTTACACGTATACACAATACTAATCAAACTAAACTTTCTTCATATAGGACAATTACTATTATTAAATATAACTTAAAAACTAATATGTTTCTTTTTTTTTATTAACAATCGAAGGTCATTTGTAAATAGATATATTTAATCTGCAACGTTTGTTTCCTTTCGAATTCGTCATGAAAGTTGGAAATTTTTCGACTACAGTAAAAGTTCCTTATTGACGGTTTCTTTATTCGCGTTTTCATTATTCGCGGGTGAAAAAATTACAACCCAGTTCCTGCACTCGCGGCTAAAAATTTCATTATTCGCGGATGAAAAGGATTCGGTGTCATTTATTAAGGAGATTGAACGCAATAGACCGCTCGTGCCTACTATGAATTTTTCCGAAAATATGAGTTTCTATTCTAATAGATAAATATCTGATTTTTTGTATGGTAACAGACAAAGGTTCACACTAACTCGTCACATTTTTAGTTTTCAATAATATGGTCATTTAAAGCTTTCACAAGTGCTTAAAGTTGATGCTTCATGCAGGACACGTATTTTCAATAGAAATTAAGGAAATTAAACAATGGTCTTCGACAGGCTTTAGAACAAAACTTTATCGATCTTCCTACAAAATTTCAAACCACTGTTCCAAACATTAAACTCATGATATCTAAAACCAATAAGCATGTTTTTACTCTACGGCGCGTGTACTACTACCGAGTCCCCTCAATGTATCGGCATCTTTTGAGTATGTACTGTTGATACGTGCCGAGGCAGCTTTTATAAAAGATGTAACCGAGTATACAGAAAAGGATTCAGTGTTATTTTTCAACGTATCGGCATCAGTTAAATACTGTTGGCTCGTGCTGAGGCGATTTTTATAAAAGATGTAACCGAGTGGACTAATTCAAAATTCAAAACAAGAAAAAATCACTAAATTGTTTAAACCCTTATTCAAAGGTGATTATAACAATTAATTTTAATTGCGAATTTCTCAATAAATTGATTTTATTCTGATACATATTGGTTTTATTTTGGAACTTGAAAGTATCCCCTATGATTTCATACTAATTACCATTCCATATCGACGGTTTCTGTATTCGCGGCATATTTATGCAACGTATACCCCGCGAATGAAGAACTTTTACTGTATTTGTATATCAACGATACAGTAACTACCAGGACTACTAAAAAACTATCCCTTCTCCTATACATTACTATCATCCACCCATTGCTCTCCAATACTCTTCCGTTTTATTTTTTTACATATACTTTTTAAATGGATCATATCATATCACTACACTCATCCCAATCGTTACCTTTGTTACAATTTCCGAATATATATATCAAAGTTTCCTTTCCCAATTCACATATTCTACATAATCTTTCAACCTCAACTTAGATCCTCTATTTTCATTTCCCATTCTAAACCTTGTTATCACATCCATCTCTTCTATTCCTTTCAAATACCCTGGCATATAATCTTCCTGCCAATGCTCCCTCATCCGATTCTTTATGCAATCTACGTATCTTGATTTACCAACATTCCTCAACATCTCCTACCACTTCACTACACCTAACTTTCACCATCCCCCCCCCCCACACACACACACACCCATTCTTCTCTATTTATTTAACTGCTCATGACACTTTCAATTTCCTTAAGCTTCCTGTCCTTTCTCCTCATATATATTTTTTGTACCTATTCCTAATATTCCCCTTCTTCTAATTTCCCTTTTTATATCACCTTCTTTTAGTACCAAGTTTTAGTAATTAATAAATATAAAACATGCCTAGTTATAAATTCAATATCAAAGAACATAACTCCAGTATATCTTGGGTACCCGTTTAGATCTCAACTCAATTTCGAACGCCGTTTGTACCAAAGTTGGTCCCTTTTCCACATTTATGCATTTGCTGAGATTGCAATAACACTGCTGCTAGGTTTCTTGATTTAATTGTCATATTTTACTCATCATCATCATCATAAAGTCATCAGTCCTAAGACTGGTTGGACACGTACTTCCACTCTTTCCTATCCTGAGCTAAACTTCGCATTTCCCTAAAACTAGAACAGCCCACATCCNAAGTCTACGATAATCCATTAATTGGCGATGGTATTGGGTTTTATAACACTTTTATGTTTATATAAATTTTACGGTTACTTTTAAATAGATTGGATATTACAAAACTGTTCCCAATTGTATTTAGATGCAGTGCTATCGTTCAAACAATGCCGATAATTTCGATAACAATAGTCAGTTGTGCCATAATATTGGTAAGTTAGAGAAGAGAATCGATTTATTTAAAATTTAGAGAAATTGAAATTCATCACATTACTTCAAAAACAAAAACTACAAAAAATGATTAAAGACAATAGGTAAGTTGTGTTTCGGGAGTCCAAAAGAAAATCTAAACTGAAGACAATGGGTGATATGTATAAACTTGAGTGACTGTCTACTCTTATTGTGACGATCAAGTCGTTCCTTGAGTACCCACCTATTTTATATACATACACCTCAATGTTACATAGCAGTAGCATTTGGAGTAGCTACTTCTGAGTGTAAACTTAAGGTTATGATGCATTTAAAGGATTAATTATGCTGTTGCTATTGTCAGGTTTGAAACTGTTTATTGAATAATAAATAATTTCACTGAACAACGAGATTTGAAAATTCTTTTGGTATCAACTCATGCTCATATGAAACCTAATTTGAGTATATGGCTACTTTTAATTCCGCCAAGGCATTCCTGGAAACAGAGCTGGTTTCATAGAAGTGACTTCTTTTTATTAAAGGCGACACGACCCTGCGCTATCCTCTGCTTTATATCCCTACTACTCTTTCCATCCTCACTTATCTGACTTCCTAGGTATCTAAAATCAGCCACTTCTTCTAATTTTTCGTCTTCTATCTTTATCAATTCGTTGATATAACATTTATTATAAAGCTCAATATGTTTTCTTGACACACATTTTCTTTGTATCTACCCACATAAAAATTGTTTTCGTTTGAGTGGGACACAAATTAATTTTGAGGAATAAACTATAGAGCGAGTACTTAAAATTAAAGCCATTTCCATTATTAGTTTTCCTTATACTTATTTTAATGGTTAATAGTCCGTGTAATTATTGTTTGGTAGCTATAAGGAATAATTGTGTATTAATAGAAGTCTACGATAATCCATTAATTGGCGATGGTATTGGGTTTTATAACACTTTTATGTTTATATAAATTTTACGGTTACTTTTAAATAGATTGGATATTACAAAACTGTTCCCAATTGTATTTAGATGCAGTGCTATCGTTCAAACAATGCCGATAATTTCGATAACAATAGTCAGTTGTGCCATAATATTGGTAAGTTAGAGAAGAGAATCGATTTATTTAAAATTTAGAGAAATTGAAATTCATCACATTACTTCAAAAACAAAAACTACAAAAAATGATTAAAGACAATAGGTAAGTTGTGTTTCGGGAGTCCAAAAGAAAATCTAAACTGAAGACAATGGGTGATATGTATAAACTTGAGTGACTGTCTACTCTTATTGTGACGATCAAGTCGTTCCTTGAGTACCCACCTATTTTATATACATACACCTCAATGTTACATAGCAGTAGCATTTGGAGTAGCTACTTCTGAGTGTAAACTTAAGGTTATGATGCATTTAAAGGATTAATTATGCTGTTGCTATTGTCAGGTTTGAAACTGTTTATTGAATAATAAATAATTTCACTGAACAACGAGATTTGAAAATTCTTTTGGTATCAACTCATGCTCATATGAAACCTAATTTGAGTATATGGCTACTTTTAATTCCGCCAAGGCATTCCTGGAAACAGAGCTGGTTTCAATCGTGACTAACTATTAATAAAACATTTAGGCTAAATGTAAAAAGGTTGGTAGTTACATCGTGAATTGTGTTAAGGGGTGCTGTAATGGTTGTATGTTTAAATCAGTAGTTATGTTATCATTTCTTGTTCCTAATTTGGTATACATAAATACGGTGGGTGTAATACGAATCCAATGTGGTAGTGACAAATTAGAGACAATATTTAATCCCTTTTACAGTATAACCAATGAAGCTCGTGTCTATAATTTGGGGACAGTTGTTGCATGAAAAATGAGGATAATAAATGATACTGTACTATATATGCTTATATACAGAGTGCTTATTATCAAGGCGTTATTTCCTTGGATCTTCTAAGAATATTCTTTTTTGATGATTTTCTTTATTATTATTTTTTTTAATTATTGATGCATCTTACTATATTGGGTTTATCGAGTAAAAGAAGAAATATTTTAATGTTCAATTCAAAATATTGAAGACAAATACAACGTGGTTTCAGCAAGAAGCCAAATTACTTTAAACCGCTGGTTCAAAAAAAATTGTTTGACTTTGGCTGTAAACAAAAAATCTCATTGAGCCGAATTTCCATTTTCATTATTTGATTTTTTTACAGAGCTTTGAAATCAAAATTTTCCGTTTTTTGCTTTTTTTCAGCTAAACTATTAAAGTTAGACGAAAAAGTTAAATAGCAATTTTGTAGCTTATTTGATGTCCTACAAAAAAGATATATATATATATTTTTGTATCGTCAATACTTGAAAAGTTACAGGCGTGTAAAGTCATTATTTTTGTATTATTAACTTTTTGTAAGTAAAATATTGATGTTTGCACAAAAATCCAATATAAAATCATGAAAAAATGAGATTTTTTGTTCCAAATTTAGTGTACTATAAGATATAGCCATGGATTTTATAGAAAAAAAATTCTTCCTGGGTTGCAAGAATAAATACGGTAAAAAAATCATTTTTCTGTGTTTTTTAAACGGTAAAATTTCAGATTCGATGATGGACCTCTTAAAATTGAAATTATGAGCTCCGCTTCTAACAGGATATTTGTTTAGACATATTTTACGATATTTTGAGCGGAGAGCAAGAAAAAAAAATATCGAGTTTTTTTGGCACAGCCTAATATCCATATACAGATAAACTGTAGTAATTTCAAATGGATTAATTGAAGAAGAAATACGACATACTACAATTTTTGAAAACAGTTCCATTGATGCATAAGTGACAATCAAAATATATGCAAAAATTTTGCATAGTTACTTTTCCTTTCACAAAGCAGCCTTCGTATCCATGGGCGTACCCAGGAGGGGCAGGAGAGGGCAGTTGCCCCCCCCCCTGGAAATCTCGCAGAAAATGTATGAACTCGCCTAATCACTAGTCAAAGTATTAACGGGGCCTTATATGGTAACTTTTGAATAAACCGCGCGGTAGACACGGTGCAATTACCATAAAAAAAAAACCTTGAACTACCTATAAAGCCGATCTGACCTAAAAAACCCTGACTTGCCCCCCCCCCCTAGGACAGAAGCTGGGTACACCCATGTTTGTATCAATTAGTAGGTGAAATTTGTAAGGTTAGACTTTCAGCTTTTGTTGTTAGTTTTCGTCATGCCCATCACGGTATATACAAAGTAAAGTTTACTTCATTTTTGAATTGATCAAAAGTGTTAAAATATGCGAAATTTGAGGACGGGGGCTTATGCCCCCATCGCCTTCCCCCCCTTGACTACCTGCCTGTACCAACCATTAACTAATGTAATATAACAATCACAATGAACTTCGGGTAGTCGCTTTTGAAATCAGCACTGACCGCATTACCCATTAAGTTTTTATTTTTGATTACTTGTATACAGAAAAATGGTAACTATACCATTCGGACAACAATTACAGGGTCAGATTAATGCATTTTAATTAATTTTATAACTAGAATAACATGTCCGAATATGTACATTTTTTTATCAATTTTAGGTAGAAAATGTTCAGAGCTTTCCCTATGTGATTTCCAACAATGAAGCACTTTTACAGTCAAATCATCCACCATTACAAACAGTTGTGGTTTCCGACGATCAAGATTATGTACCAGATTTGTATTACCATAACTCACATGATTATGGGGATCCACGTTATTATGAGAATTCATACCATTATGATAATTCGTATGATTATGGTAATTCATATGGTTATGGTAATGCATATGATTATGAGAATTTATACCATTATGATAATTCGCATGATTATGATAATTCGCATGATTATGGTAATTCATATGGTTATATTAATGCATATGATTTCGGTTACGATCCTAATGAAAATGACGAAATTGGTTCATATAACCACCACAGCTATTATGATGACGACTCAGTTGTTCTAGTTAAACCCCAGATGAGATCAGCTCAAGAGAATAGTTTTTCAGACTCGAATTCGAATAATGAATCTCCTGTTTCAAGAGTAACATCGCTTTTAGAAAATCACTGTGTAACAGCCATAGAAGTTAGACGAAATATTGTTAAAAGTTTGACAGAATTTCTAACCAAAATAAATTTAACGGATGTAGATAATGCCTTTGTATCTGCGACTAATCAATTGTTAGACAATTTAACTAACAAGGAAATCTCTACAATATATTTTAATCATAACTTATACAAATTACGTAAATTAAAATACGAAGATCTTGGTTTGTCGCTTTTGAGTCAACTTGAAAAAGTTTCACCGCCTATCGCACAATTATCAATAAACGCATCTTCGAAACATCTTGTTGAAAATCCTGAACTATTAGAAATGTTCACGGCAACTGTTTACGGGAATCTATTTTTTGGTGTAGACGAAAAAGTTATTAGAGAACTTGACGACAATGACATTAATGCTGTTCTACAGGAAATTTCAAAAGATGACAATATTGACATACCGTCTAAGTACTTCAGTCCGTTCTGGTTCAAGGTTATTGAAGGTTTTCAAAACGAAAAAGTCAATCCAACTCCTCTACTCTTAGGATGTCTGATGATGGATTTTCCTCTGAATATAGAGCCAGATTTAATGGGTTTTAACTACGAGTATACTTATAAGGTGTTATCAAGCCTAAGTTACACGCAAAAAGATTCTTGTGAACAAAATACTAACACCCCGTCAAATACATTGAAAATCAACAGTATTGCGTTGACAATGCCAAATACCAGGTCAGAAAATGTGTATACCTATTACGACAATGACGTGCAAACTTTATACGATGATGTACCAGCAGTTGTAATAAGTGAAGATGATATTCCAATTAATAGGTACTATGAGTATGGAAGTCCCGTTTTAAAATCATTGTCATTAGAATATCAAAAACAGTCAACGGAAAATCCCGATTCGCTACTAAGACTACAAAATGGGGATGATATTAACGTCTTACCATTACATGATGACTTGGTCAACAGACGGTCTGAAGAAATAGAACTTTCATCAACGATTTATTCGCAACTCCATGACGCACAGAATGATGACAACAGACTAAAAACAACATTTGGGGGTGCTACCATTATTTCTAGTGTGTCCACGCCCAATTCGTATAAATCAACAACGTATCTTAATAAAGATAATGGCGACAATGACGGTGATTTAGAAGCTGAAGTAAGAATAAACCTTCCAGAAACGAAGATTGATGACGAACCTGTTGAGCCTTACAAAAATGTGAAGCTGGAAATGGATGACCATGATGATGATTTCGAAGTAGGCAATGATGATTTCGAGGAGGAGGAACCTTCTGAGCCTTATAAAAAGGTGGAGTTGAAAATGGATGACTTTGATGATGATTTCGAAGTAGGCGATAATGATTTCGAGGAGGAGGAACCTTTTGAGCCTTATGAAAAGGTGGAGTTGAAAATGGATGACTTTGATGATGATTTCGAAGTAGGCGATGATGATTTCGAGGAGGAGGAACCTTTTGAACCTTATAAAAAGGTGAAGTTGAGAATGGATGACTTTGATGATGATTTCGAAGTAGGCGAACCTGTTGACCCTTATAAAAAGGCGAAGCTGAAAATGGATGACTTTTATGATTTTGATGATTACGCAATAGACGAAATTTTTGAGCCTTATAAAAAGGTGAAGCTGAGAATGGATGACTTTGATGCTTACGAAGTAGACGAAGCTGTTGAGCCTTACAAAAAGGAGATGCTGAAAATAGATGACGATAAGTTCAAAGAAAAAATAGACGATTATAAAAATTTTGGCGAAGACGTGCCATTGAAGTCTTACATGAAAACGGAGCTGAATGAGAAGAGTACCAATAATGATGCAAGGGAATACGAAAACATATATAATAATGGAGGGGAAGAACTTCATGACATAAGGGACATTATCAAAAAATTATGTGAGCAACTAGTTGATGATGTAATTAATTCACCAGATATCAATTACGTGTCGCACGTAACTAAAACTATCTTAAAATATTTACCGAATAAGTTCCCAAAGAAATATACAAAAGAGTTGCAGGAATTTCTTCAAATGCTAACGTTTGCTAGCAAACAAAAGACATCGCAAGACATAATGACATATTTAAGCAATGCCGTTAAAGTTGTCAAAATCGACGTACCGATTTTGCAGATATCGGAAGGGCTTCACAAACTGATAGACTTTAATTCCTTGAGTACGCAACAGAAAGTACGATTTAAGAGCGTCTTAAACTATTTAATTTCCAATCCACATATTGCATTTAAGATAACGCAAGATATTGAGAAGAGTAACGAAAATGAATTCCTTTTCAGTTTGTTTAAGACATTACAAAAGGAAGCAAGCATTCCTGTGAAAGTTCGAAATGGCCTGAAGATGTTGTCAAAGTATATAAGGGTGGAACATATAAACAAATGTGACGATGAATATTCTTGATAATTAAATAGAAAATATGGAAATGAGTACGTTTTTAAAAATTTGTATAATTAATTTACAGTTTAATAAACGCTTTTTATTGATATGTGTATTGCTAGTTTTAAAGAAATAAACTTATTGTAACATTAGAGAACCACGAAAAATCAAGTAAAATCCAAGAAGAAAATTCGACAGTTATAGGCTATAGTCCTAATTGATGAATGCTGTGCATCGAATTTTAACCATGTCCTATACCTAAAGTCAGCAGTTATCCATAAATTTAACATTGTTTTGCTTCCAAGGATGGGTGTCAATAAGATAGGTATATTTTCCCCTGAAGAATTTTTGATTTTTATTCATGTATATATACTAAGGGTAATTATAATTAAGATAAAAGCCAAATAAAGTCAAATACTTTAATATGTATGTGACAAGGAACAATCGTTTTTTAAGGTAAGCAAGTTAACAAAACAAATTATATTATCGTAAATTAGTTATAACGATAGTAAGAATGATTAATCTGATTTTTCGCTATTATTATCAGACCACTGTGACATAGAGGCGTCGAAGCTGTAGTCACTGTAACTGACCATTTGAGATTTCTTTTCTTCCAAGTACCTGTTGTGTTTTAAATACCAGAGAACTACAGCTACATGTGCACAACAGCCCACGACTCGTGTATGTACTTTACACTGACAGTACCATCCACAAACTGGTGGTGAAAAACAATTGTTATATTGAATCCATGCATTACGTATATATTTATATTTTTGAAGATGAATGTCGCGATTGTAATTGAGCACGGATTATATCATTTATTTCCTTATAAACACACAGCTCATACAGCCCTAAATCATTAAACTGCTGTCACCACTTTGGTATACGTTCGCGCAACATATGAGCGCACTGGACCATCACTTTAATATTTATATATATTATTGTTTACCATATGCTACATCACATATGTAAAAGACAAAGTGTTGGAAGATTGCGCTGATGTATAACAAAAATGTAAAAGCTACTTGAAAAGATTCTTTAAAATACTCAATTTTAAACTAAAAATAAAAACGAAAAAAAATACGAAAGGTAAGAAATATTACCCAAAACGCACGGAGTATA